CCCCAAAACCCCAAAACCCCAAAACCCCAAAACCCCAAAACCCCGAGAAGCTTAAGAACTGTTGAAATATCTACAAAGATTTTTATATTTTAGGAATTAAGGAAAGGTAAATTTAATTATGTTTAAGTTTAATTATAGAAAAGAGTTTGAATTTTGAAATAGTACTTTCCTAAAGCTTTTATTCCTTTTAATTTTCCAACCTAGCTGAAGGACTAAATAAGATTTGCAATAAACTATTCTTTATTAAGAATTTATTTATTTTAGGAGCAAATTGTCCATTTTCAAGTTTTTACTAAAAACCAATCAAAATTTTAATTTTTTCTCTCAAAATACTGTAAAAATTTACTACTATACCAAATATTCTTATCTCTCCTGAATAAATAAGTGTGTCTTTATCTTTTATTTTCTAAGCTATAATCACTTAAGATGCTCTCAAATTAGTTCATTACCAATATTAGCTAGCCCAATATTAAAAATTCCCAATTACCCACTTAAACCATCCCAATCTAAAACCCTAAATTTTCAACCTCAAAACTGCTCTTCCTTCATTCTTGCTTCTAAGTTTACAAAAACAGCTCTTTGATATTATTCAGCTAAATTTAATAGAGCAGTGTAGGTTTTTTGTGGGTGCAGCTTGTGGCCTATTATAATAATCTTTATGACGAATTAGCTATAACATCGCTTAATGGTAGGGCTGTGGTAGATTATTACTTCTACTCAGTTATACAAATAACCTCGTCCCTAGGCTCGATCGTCTGGGTCCCTTTGAGGCATGATCACTCTTTGTACTGCAGAGAATAGCCTATCTAGATTCAGCATCAGTGGTTCAATACTACCTCCAAGATCTCGGTAAATTAGACTTATTGGGTTCAATAGTATATTTTTGTACTTCGAGACATCCCGGTCTATTGTAATCACCAGCCAGTCTAAAACCACTCCTCAATAAAACCTTTGAAAGTGCTTACCTAGTCTTAGTTTGAGAAGTTACAGATCTCTTTGTGAATCACAACCTTTAAGGACTAAACCCACCTATTCATCGCAGACTCTCAGTGAAATTCCTAATGGTCTTCGAACAAAGATGAGGTAGTTCTTCCATTAGGTAAACCTTTAGCTAAGGTTCCCTGGATTGTTGGGTCAATTCACTGCTACTATCTGAGTTAGATACCTTTCTTGGCTAGTTGGTAAGGTCTCTACTAGAACGATAGCATCGTCTAGCAGGTTTCACACTAGACTATTTTACTCGAACTATTTCTCTCGCTGCATATTTGTACGATAAGGAGGTAGGGAACCCACACTTTTATCAAATAAAAAGACATTCTTGGACAATCCTAGATGAGGACTTGGGGATTGAAAATAGAAGGATGGGACTGGCAACAAGTTTTCTAGACAAAGGTTTGCCATAATTTTTGAGGTATAAAGAATGAAGAAGAGTAGATAATTGAGACGGATTGGTAAATTTTAAGATTTTGATAAATATTATGTTCTAGGGCTTTTATAATATGTCTCTCGTGCCCCATTGTTGAGTTCTTTGCAGCCCAAGTGGAACAGGGACTGCGCTTGGGATGTTTCTAGGAGATATACCTCCTGGAGCTAATCTCCTCGCAGTGCTCATGGTGAGATCTTTGCTATTTTCAAGGAATGTCTCAGGTGTCTTTGCTCTCAATTTGATTATTGGTCTTCTATTTAAAAATATTGTAAGATAAAGTATTAGAGGGGCTCAAAATTAGCTTAAAAACTCAGAAAAATTATTGAATTCATCCATACCGGCTTGGATGCTTTAATTATTTATCTTTATTTTATGAACTTATATTACTTAAATTACACTTTGTGAAAGTTAAACCACATTATTTTTATTTTTCTTGATAATTAGTTTTTTAGAAATGCAAGATTCAGTATTCTACAAAAATAAAGCTGAGTTTTTGAACTTTTGCTAAGACATTTGCATAATTTTTATAAAACATTGCATTTTTGAGTTTACTAGCCTCTTTTAATTGAATCATTTCACAAAAATAGCTATTTTGAAGGTAATCTTACCTCGAATTTGCACCATCTCTGAAGGAATTTGAAATTATTACTTTGTTCCCAGCTTTAACCCTAACTTTGGCAGTTTTAGGCTTAATCCTTCTCATCTTTTTCTTTGATCGAATATATCTCACTGTTTGGAGAATGAGATTTGTAATATTGATAATCAAGATGGTTAATGTGTTTGCAAGAATCGATCTGTTAAGTAGCTCATCAAGCACAATAGAGTTAACTTTCTGCACACAAATCACAATAATTATTGTTGAGAAATACCAGATTTCATTTACAATTTCAGTGATATTAGCATGCTTCTGATCGTGAGGTCTTGATAATATTGTCAGTAGCAATGAAATAAATTGTAGAATAGCATAGACTGAAAGCCTTGAAGTTGAATCTGTGGTTCTCATTGATACAATAATAAATACAACCATAAATCTTCTAATAAGAAACACAAAATTATGGAGTTGTGCCAATTTGTTCAATTTTAATCCTTCAAATAACTCTTTGGAGTATTTGTTTTTGTATGCATGTTTATCAAACAAATATAATCACAGTACTAGACTCATGAATGAGAACAACAATATCACACCTCCAACACTCAAAAAATAAGACACTGTGTGGTCTTTGATTTCAACAACTCTGAAAAATTCATTAACTGAGACTAGACACACGAACAAGAAGCTCTCAAGTAAGAATCTCAAATAGAATCTGAAATAGAATAGAGACATAAAGTATCTGTAAGTTTTTGCCTGAAGATCACTTGTTTTAGATTTTCATAACACTTCTATTAATAGTTGGACTGCTAGGTTGAGCAAAATAATTCAAAAGAATGACATGGCAATGTCTAATCAGTTAACAAAAGCACTTCCAGACTCATACTCACTATCTCTGAATTCACCACAAGGATTCTTGTAGTCTATTTGATCAATCACAGTACTGATTCCTGGATAGGTTCTAGAGTTCAAGAAGTCCATGTTTAGAAAGCTAAACTGCAAAGCTTCCAGTGTCTTTCTAAAGTCATCAGGAAGTTTCACAATCAAAAATGGAATCATAATGAAGAGCTGGTACTGGTTTAACAAAGCCCAGATATTCTGGGATGAAGTTTCGAAAAATATTCCTGACATTGATGAAGAAAACATTGAAAATGCAAACCCAGATATAACTAATGAAGAATTTAAGTTTAGAGAACCATCAATGGAAACTTCATTAGAGACTTCTTGACAATTTTTAGAATCTGTTAATGAATATCCACTAGAACATTGCACTCATACAGAAGAATTGCATGCTTGACAATGAAGAGTATCACAAGTGTTAGTATCTGAGTTGCTTTCTTCGCTAGAGGATGCTGAACTCTCGCTCGATACAGCTGCAACATTAATCTGTACATTTCTTGTATATGTTTGCTCTGGGGTTGTGCTTTTTCCAGTAAAATAAAATGACTGACCCTCACTTGAAGATGGTACAATATAATCGAACGAAAGTGAGTCTGCTCCAACAGATACCCAAGACGGAATAGGCTCCCCATTGGGATGAGCTTCAATTGTTGGAGTAATGGGAGTAGATCCACTAAGTGAGCAAGGAAAGAAATTAGCAATGTTACCATTGGCTTCTATTGTTGTATCTAAGACATAGTTTTGGGTACTTGCAATAATTTCGATCTCTAGTGCTAAATTATCGGATTGCATTGCATTTAAAAGGAAATTTGGATTAATACTTGAAACTTCCTTTGAAATTGTTGAAGGTACAGAAGAAACAAATATGGTAGCATCATGCACATAGGAATATCCCACGGTTGAGGTAAATGAATCACTTGTCGATGTAAATGCAACTGCAGTGTTACTTCCATCTATTCCATTTTCAGGGAGCCTTGAAATTGCAGTTACTCGAGTAGACTCTTTTATACCAGAACCAATGATAGTGTGCCCTCCAACTTCAAGAATCCATCCTCCTCTTATTTCTGTGCTAACATAACTATTGCTAAATTGTATAGTGGTTGGATTATACTCTATTTTGTACACTCCGTTATCATACTTTACTAGAATAAAAACTTTTCTGAAAGAAGTTGAGTAAGTAATGCTACTTATCTCAAGTCCGCTTTGAGTGAATCCAGCCATATAAGATCCAACAAGAAGCCCGTCTCCAAAGCTGCTTGCAAAAATTAATGGTTTTGTGTCTAGAAAGTAACTGATTACTTGGCTTAGTGAGTCAATCACTAAAGCATTATTAGTCCCAGTAAGCACTCAGTCTGAAGGTCATCCTAACTTCTTCGACCACTGCTGAGTCCCAGTTTCATACTTGATTGATAAAAGATTATATGCTTGACTAGGACTGATCACAGACCCACTGATCAAGAGCAAGTCTTGACCTGAGTTTAAGTATGAGTGAATAGAATAAATAGAATTTAGGCCTACTTCAATTGAATCAATGGATGTAGATCCGAAATCTGCATATCCAACCCTGAAAATATGAGGAGTTGAAGATACTTTTCCTGCAACATAGATGCTCGATTTGTCATTAGAGAAAGTAATAGAACTGCAATCCACTGAATCTGCAATTTTTAATTGTTCAATAATGGATTTATCAGTTCCATTTACTTTCAGCAATGGACAATCTGATGTTGACTTCAGTACAAATACTAAATTTGAATCAGATGGATGCAAAGCGATAGCATTTTTAGAAATATGGCCTGTTATACGAAGGGTCCACGTCATATTCAAATTGGAATCAAATCTGTATAGATAGACCTCGTTTGATCCCAGAATTTCAACATTCACTGTGTAATACACTCATGAGTTATCTATTCAAGGAATCCCATTGACATTATCAATGTTATTTGATAAAATATAGTAGAATGAATAACTTTTAGGCTCTGCTGATATATCAATGCTAGCAGGGCATTGGGCTGCCCATAACATCTTCGTGAGCAATATCATTCTAAACATTGTTAATCTTGGCTTATAAATCTTAGAATAACTTTATGGTGAATCGAAAGGAAAAATTCATATTAAATTTATGAGATTATGAATTTCGCAATATTATTGAAATTAAGAAAATTTCATTAATAATAAAATTATTGGAGCATATCGGATTTTCACTTTTATTAAAAAGAGGCTGGAATAGGTACTAAAATACGAAATAATTAAAATAAAACAGTACAAGCTCCTTGCACTTAAAGAGGGTATAAAAAAGTATAGACATATTTTGAGTATTTTTTCTAAACACAAATACTGACTTAAAAAATTTCCAAACCGAAGTAATATTTTTAGGTTCTAATATATGGTGAATCAATCCAATTTTTTGCATCATTAAGGAGTTTGATTATTTTTAATTTTGTCAAAAAAGAGGTAATTAGTTTCCTAGAGCTAACATCTTTCAATATTTTCATAAATAATTATAAAATACTATTTTAACCAAAAAATTTTCTATCAAATATGCCAAAAGTTAATAATATTTTAGCAGTAGGCAAGAAATCTCAACCTAAATAATATATTTAAAACAGGATGGTTAATTTTAGTTTTTCTTCAATTGCTTCAACAAATCCAACTACAAAATACTCGCATAATGTACTATCCTACTTTCAAAAAGTACATCTCTTCCATAAAACCTTCCAAAATCACATAAAACTCTCATAATTTCCTTAAAAAAGCTAAGCCCATTTCCCTCACCTCCCTACCCCTCTCCCCCTCCCCTCTCCCCTAACTCCCATTACCCCTCTCTCAAAACCCCTCTCTCCATTACCCTCCCCACTCTTCCTCCCTCTCCCTTCCACCCTAACCCTGTTCCTCCCTTCTTCCTCCCTCAAATCCCCACTGTTCGCGCACTAATACTTACCATATTGTGAGTGGGAGCATTTTTGGAAATTATTATATTATAGGTCAAGAGCTGGTCGGTGGAATGGGGTTTTGGGGTTTTGGGGTTTTGGGG